ACATTCTTTGCGGAGAATGCAAACATTTCTTTTGTCAAGCTTCTCAAATATTTTACTCTACGTTTCTCGAAGCTATAATTACAGTTCGACGAAATTCACATCGAAAAATTTACGAAATTTCTAGGAATCGATCAATCATAGAGAGTGAAACGTTGAGAAATCTCTCCTAATCAATTGAATTCTTAGAAAACAACGCCAATTCTTCTTTTTTTCTTTTATTTTTAAATTAATATTAAATCTTTTTCATTCATCAACAATCGTTATTTAGAAAAAGCTATATCGTGACTTTGATATTCGATTCGAATAAATACGACGCTGCGCGGAGACGTAGCACGTTACTATATCTCGGACTTGAACTTACAATTAAAATAGCTACTCTCTTACTAAATTCTATTATTATATCAGCAATAGACTGATTATATACCGCTAAAATTAATTAAGAGCATTATCCACTCGTACAGAATTATTTAAAGCAGAAATAAGGAAAGCACTCTGAAAAGTTTCCAAAAACTGGCTGAAGTTACATCAAATCGATGAACACAAAATGAGTAAGAATATTGAGAAAAAAAAAAATTTCAAAAAGATCTTCGAACAAAGAATGTTCCCTGTGCGTTTTATATTGGCAAGAACAGTATCACAAGTCATAGTAAAAATCCTTTTTAAATCCTCAACGAGAAGAACACCGATAGAACCCGTTTAATCTTCGAACTGTGTGATTGTCACAATTAAAAATGCAGTAAAAAATAAACACGCGGTAATGCATGTTATGTAACGAGTGTAATAATTCACGTTAATTGCGTCTCATCGGTATACAACGCGTTGATTGTCGTCGTTGATCGATGCATCCGTGAACGCATCGATCTAATGGCATCGTTTCGATCTAGCGAACTATTACAAATCACGTGTTGTGTCAAGAAGGTATTCTGAAACTTTCAGAATTGAATGACACGGTCCATAAGCGTTCGATTTCTCCATGGATCAATTACTCGAGGTGTTGGTGATGGTATCCGGTGGTATTTGACGAATTATCTGACGAAGACTAACATACTCCGCGTGTCTACGTCGGCTGACGCGTTGCTGGACGCTGAACTTCCGCCTGCGCCTGATGTCGCGCTGCTAGATGCTTGGGCTTTCGCCGATCCATTTCCGGCACCGAATGCGACTGACTTGGCAGACGCGTTGCTTGTAGCAGATCCGCCGAAAGAGTTCGAGTTTGCGTTCGAAGCAGCGTTCGAGCCTTGAGAATAGAAGGGAATCATTTAATTAGGATCGCGCCTGAATTCGTTGCTTCGGAGAAAGATGAAGCTGTTGCATCGATTGAAGCGCCTGTTGAAGGAACGGTATAATGATGTATGAGATTTTGGCTGAATGTATGTATATACAAGTGAGAGAGATGAAGGTTTGAGGTTTGCTTGTTCTTGGAAAATGAGGAGGCGCTTTCTGCATGCAAACTGTGTTCAATTTCTTGCCAGTGATATAAGTGGAGTACTCTTCAAAAATTGTTTAATATTTACTGCAGCTTACATGCACGATCATTAAGTGAAGAGCAACAAAATACGTAACGAAATATCAAAACGTACCTCCAAAGCCTCCAGCACTGGCAGAGGCGTCAGCTTTAGCAGAGGCTCCTCCAAATCCACCAAAACCTCCACTTCCAGCATTGGCTACTGCATCAGCTTTGGCTCCAGCACTGGCTCCAGCATTAGCACCAGCATTGGCTCCACCATTGGCTCCACCATTGGCTCCACTGCCAAAAGCTGGTCCAGAGGTTCCATAAATTGGCCCACCTTTGCCTGAAGAACCAAATCCTCCAAGTCCGCTGCCTGATGCACCGCTTCCAGCGTTTGCAATAGCGTCAGCTTTGGCTCCAGCACTGGCTCCAGCATTAGCACCAGCATTGGCTCCACCATTGGCTCCACTGCCGAAAGCTGGTCCAGAGGTTCCATAAATTGGTCCACCTTTGCTTGGGACACCAAATCCTCCATTTCCATTGCCTGATGCACCACTTCCAGCATTGGCTCCAGCACCTCCACTGCCATAAGCTGGTCCAGAGGTTCCATAAATTGGTCCACCTTTACTTGGAACTCCAAATCCCCCATTTCCATTGCCTGATGCACCGCTTCCAGCATTGGCTCCAGCATTGGCTCCAGAACCTCCACTGCCATAAGCTGGTCCAGAGGTTCCATAAATTGGTCCACCTTTGCTTGGGACACCAAATCCTCCATTTCCATTACTTGATGCACCACTTCCAGCATTGGCTCCAGCGCCTCCACTGCCATAAGCTGGTCCAGAGGTTCCATAAATTGGTCCACCTTTACTTGGAACGCCAAATCCTCCATTTCCATTGCCCGATGCACCGCTTCCAGCATTGGCTCCAGCATTGGCTCCAGCACCTCCACTACCAAAAGCTGATCCAGAACTTGGTCCACCATAAATTGGTCCACCTTTGCTTGGAACACCAAATCCTCCATTTCCATTGCCTGATGCACCGCTTCCAGCGTTTGCAGTAGCGCCAGCTTTGGATCCAGCACCTCCACTACCAAAAGCTGGTCTAGAGCTTGGTCCACCATAAATTGGTCTACCTTTGCTTGGAGCACCAAATCCTCCATTTCCAATGCCCGATGCACCACTTCCAGCATTGGCCCCAGCACCTCCATTGCCATAAGCTGGTCCAGAGGTTCCATAAATTGGTGCACCCTTGCTTGGAACTCCATATCCTCCAAGTCCGCTGCCTGATGCACCGCTTCCAGCGTTTGCAATAGCGTCAGCTTTACTTCCCGCATTGGCTCCACCTTGTCCACCAAATCCAATGGCACCAGGTCCAGAAGCTCCACTGCCACCAAAACCAGGTCCAGTATTTCCAGTGTTTCCAAATGCAGAACCAGTGCTTCCAGCGTTAGCTCCAGCCGTGCTCACAGAATTAGCTCCAGCGCTTCCAGGTGCTCCAGTACCGTAACCTGGGGCAGAGGTGCCATAGACAGGTGCTCCTTTCGTGGGAGTGCCATAGCCAGCACCGTTGCCAGATCCAGAATTACCAAACGTGCTTCCTGAACCAGAATTTGCATAACCATTGCCATATCCACTGGGTGCAGTTTCGTAATTAACTCCTGGAGTAGCAGGGATGACAACAGGGTTTTTCAGAGGTTGACCGAATCCTCCAGCAGTTCCAGCTGCGTTGGCATTAGCAGTGGCTCCCGCGTTTGCTCCAGCGTTGGCTCCAGCTCCAGACGGTCCCGATGCAATGGGTCTTTGAGGTGCGTAGCTGTCTGGAGGAATTTGTTGACCTGGATACGACGTAGGAATACCTTTGGCTCCTGGCTGTCCACCGCCAATACCTCCAGGTTTAGCATTAGCTCCAAGATTATTTCCAGCTATTCCTCCTGGATACACCTGATGTCCAAGACCTGGCCCAGTTGCAGGTGCACCATAACCATTTCCAGATCCTTGATTCAGGAAAGGATTATGCTGTCCAATCTGACCTTGACCTCCTCCATTTGCTCCAGCGGCGGCGTTACTATTGGCTGCTGCATTTGCACCTGCAAGACTGGCTGCTTGAGCAGTTCCTCCATTCAAGAACGGATTATTCGCTCCAATAGGAGCACTTGAGCCACTTGGATAGTAGCCTGGAGACTGAGCTGGTCCTGAGGTTCCTACGGGCGAGTATCCACCACCAATTGCGCCTGCATTCGCGGTAGCAGCTGCATTCGCGTTAGCACCTGCATTGGAGTTTCCGCCGTTCAAGAAAGGATTGCCAGCTCCTATGGGGCCAGTTTCAGTGTCCTGGTTGTAAGATCCTGGAGCCTGGCCTGATGCTCCTGGGTAGAATTTTCCCTTCAAGGCTGAATTAGCGTTGGCATTGGCGATGGCATTCGCGTTAGCATTGGCGATCGCATTGGCGTTGCCATTTGCATTACCGTTGCCAGCTCCGCTAGGTTGTCCATAACCTGTGGCAGGATAGGCTCCTCTTCCTGGTCCATAGTACCCGCCCTTTCCTGCTCCGCCAGCTGAAAAGAAACAATTCAGATAAGTCGAGAAGAAGGAATACAAGGTACAAGTTAATCTCTCCTCGTGCTCTGGTGTTAACTACTAGTACTTTTAAGGACACATATTTTATATACAGATAAGTGGGTCAGTGCAGGCAGGGTTCTATCGAGAAGTAATTAAAGACACTTGTAGCTGCTGCAGAGACTAGAACAGAGACAGTTGTATGTTAATGCTGTATGTTAATCACTGGAAGAGGTACACAGAACATTCTCCTAAAAGTGCAAGATTATCGTAATCCATCGGGCAACAAGACAGATAGTTCAACAGTGTAGTGTTACGTCGACATTCCTCTTCGACACATGCAACCTGGAAGGTGCACGATGTATCCACAGCAGCTCACCTTGATAAGGTGAGTCCTCGACCACGATCACTTGAATCGTGTCTGGTTTTGGTCCACGACCAGGTCGCGGGTACATTGGCCTACCAGACGGTGGACCATCCAGGATCACTACTGGAACCACAACCTCGTCAGGCCTGAGAGGATACGGAGGAATCTGTGGAATCGGCTGAACAGGTATAACCGGTGGTCTAACTGGAATTGGCTGAGCAGGTGGCATAGGATGATTGATCACTTCAGGTCGATGCTTGTGATAGTGATGGTGACGAAACGGTGGAACGTGTCGATGCTTGTGAGAGTAGGGAATGAGAATCTCCTTGTTGTATTCGTCTCCAGCAGTGGGGTATTGAGGACCTGTAATCGTTGTTAAAGGCTGTCTTTGAAGATTGGCTATCGCTCCACTGTTCGCTATCGCGTTTGCTCCTGCGTCGATCTGCAGATTTCCCGGAGAAGTGTAGCCGACAGGTGTTCCTGCACCGTTGATAGGTCCGTTTTGTCCTCCAGGGGAATAATAGCCTGTCGGTGATCCTCCTGATCCGCTGATAGCGTTTGCTGTCGCATCTGCGTTAGCATTTGCTCCCGCGTTACCCTGAAAACCGCTCGGGTAAGAGTATCCTGTCGGTGATCCAGCTAAACCGTAGGAGTTCGCGTTTGCATTCGATCCTGCGTTACTCTGAACTACTCCAGGGACGTAATAGACATTCGGCGAGTCTGCTCCGCTGTTAGAACCTGCCGCAGCACCTGCATTAGCATTTGCTCCTGCGTTACCCTGAACATACCCTGGGGAATAGTATTGAACTGTTGATGTAACCGTCTGCTGTTTACTTTTAGAACTAACGTTATCGAGATTTCCAAGGTGCTACGTCACTGTTCAAGATACTTTTAACGCCTGCATTCTCACGTTTCCATGGGAATATAAGCATTGGAGATGGCATTGGCGTTCGAATTCGCGTTGGCGTTCACGTTCGAGGCTAGATTCGATTTCGCGATCACGATTGTGTACGCGCCAGCGTGTGAGTGAGGCGTTTCACTGAGAACCGCCGCAACTACCGTAGTTTACTAAGAACGTGGTGAGCATTGGCGACGTTAGAATTATAATTTCACATGGTAGACGCGTACAGAGAAATTTCACCGGTTTTTACGCGATTCGAAGAAAAATTCGCCGCTCCGTGAACGCATTTGTATTCAACGCGAAAACAGTCATTTCTAGACGGTTCTATGATTATACGACAATTGCATAAGATATCGAAGGCAGCTAATTTCGAGAAATAAACAAGTTTTATAATATCATTTCCAATTTGATTCTGTGAAATTGAGAAAGACGAATCGAAATTTTTCACTCTTCCGTTGAATATTCGCAGACCATGCACTTGTCGAGTATTCCAAACAGGATTTGTGGTTTTCTAAGATTTTCTATACTATGTACCTTGAGCATTGGCAAATGCAGAGGCGTCAGCTTTTGCTGAGGCTCCTCCGAACGCTTGAGAGTTCGCATTGGCAATAGATCCTGCTGCACCTCCGTTGCTATCCGCGGTCGCGGAAGAAGAGGCTATGCTGGACGATAAGGAGAGTGGTCCCAGACTGAGACCAAACGAATCTGCTTTGCTCGTTGCTCTAGCGCCTCCTTTGTCCTTGTCGAAGAGGCCTAAAGGGTCCAGAAGAAGGGACCCTCGGCTCGCTGCAAGATCCGTGAGCAGTCCTGAAAAATAAGATTAACGTGTTTTTTTTACTCTTCAGAAACGTGACTGACAAACAAAACTTTAAGAAATGAATAAAAAAAAATAGTGGAATGTCTTTATTTTCTATATTTAAACGAATAAATTAATATTAATATTTTTAGGATAAATGAATCTAAAAATGTTCCTTTAAACTTTATACTATCGATATCTTAATCATACTGAATCTTTGTTATCTTGGATATTTATCTCGAAACCGGAAGTACAGTGGATCCAACGAAGAAGAGAACTCACCAGGATGCGCAGAAGATCTTTCAGCGTAGAGAAGTACCAGCACAGGCACAAAACACACAAAAAATCGCATTGTTCACCAGATGTTGAAGATCACCGAAGGAATATAATGTATATTTTATCCGTGAAACTTCTCTTGCGAACCCACTTCGAGTCGATAATCGCCGGAGTTGTGGTCGAAGAGTCAAGAACGACTGAAGCTGTTGAACGAGACAACAACTTATATACGAGACGCCGCTGGATTTTACGTCGGCCAATAATTGACCGTTGCTGAACGCCGATCTCTACCCTCCACTGTCCCTTTCCCTCTCCACGAATTTCGGTAGATTTTCCACGAAAAGATTTTCAGCAGAATCTAAGGACCGTTGTAAATGTGAAGAAAGTTTTGACGGATTAACGGGAACGAAATACGAACAGGAATAAGATCACAGATTACGGACAAAACTTTCACCGGCTGAAGATGGCTAACACTGTCAAGGACTAATCGTTCCGTCAACCAGCTTCATATTTTTCCAAGCTGGGATATCCCTGCAGTATCAATGTTTGATCGCGGTTTTCCAAGTGACATGGTCTTGGAAAATCGCTATTTTGGGGAAATTACTCAATCCTAGAAAAGTACAGAGAGAAAGAGGGTCAGTGGTAACTTAGAGATTGTTGGGAAAGAAATTTAAGGACTATTAGCATGTAAGATTTACAAGATTTAAGTTTTAGTTTTCTTTATTAAAGAACAGTGTCTGTGGCTTGAGGTGAAAATTGGGAATTTTATTGAGAATTTCTTTTCGCTAAAATATTGAAATCACAGAAAACAGAGGGCCAATGGTAATTTAAATAAAATTTTAAACAATATTACAGAACAATATATGTGACTTGAGGTGAAAATTGGGAATTTTATTGAGAATTTCTTTACGCTAAAATATTGAAATCACAGAAAAAAGAGGGCCAATGGTAATTTAGATAAAATTTTAAACAACGTTAAAGGTCTATTAGCAGTAACATGAAATTTATAGAATTTAACTTTTATTTATCCTCATTAAAGATTAATATTTATGTCTTGAGGTGAAAATTGGGAATTTTATCGAGAATTTCTTTACGCTAAAATATTTAAATGACAGAAAAAATTTAGATAAAATTTTAAACAATGTTCAAAGTTTATTAGCAGTGAATATATAAGATTTATAGGATTTAAATTTTATTTTTCTTTATTGCAGAACAATATCTGTGTCTTGAGGTGAAAATTGGGAATCTTATTGAGAATTTCTTTACGCTAAAATATTGAAATCACAGAAAAAAGAGGGCCAATGGTAATTTAGATAAAATTTTAAACAATGTTAAAAGTCTATTATCAGTAACATGAAATTTATAGAATTTAACTTTTATCTATCCTCATTAAAGATTAATATTTATGTCTTGAGGTGAAAATAGGGAATTTTATCGAGAATTTCTTTTCGCTACAATATTGAATAAAATTCGACGAACTTTTTTTCTGATTTACAAACACCCTAATCTCGGAATATTTCCTGGAATAAGGCAGTTAAACATTGGCCAAAAAAATGAAGGCAAGATGTTTTTCTTCGGGGAATATATAAATCTTTGACTGGAAGAAGCATCTTCCAAAAATTGAACATAAATGTCATCATACTCCGCGTGGCCGTGTAAAGAGGAAACAGTCGAATTTATTGTCTGTGTTTGCACAGCTTAATCTGTCTACCTTTAGCCGTCCACTCGAACCTCGCCTAACATTATATCATCGTTATATAACACGTGCTTAAATTCGACAGAATAAGAAAAAACCTGAAAAACCATCGGTCAAAGTAGTATTCGATAATTTGTAATTCAAGCGAGTGTTAAGCCTGAAGTGCGGATTAACGATGCAATTAATAACGGTGAGTAATACACGGTGCGTAGGAGAAGGTAAGAGAACTGTGGAAAAGGTGGAAAAAAAAAAAATACGATACCTTCGCAAACATCCGGCTGTCGTTGTCGGAACCTTGCATGAAAACTCGTTATTAGAACCTGTCACGGTCTAAGCAGCGTAGAAATTCCGATTTTCGGAATTCGTAAATGAAGAAATGGTTTTTCTCTGCCTTCGGAGAAATCCTCGAGAAAACTCGAAAATCCAGTATGAAACGTACGATAGAATCTTCCGAGACTTCTTCGCCAAGCCTGTTTGTTCCTTTAACACGTTTTATCGGTATTAGATAATTGGAATTTCATAAACAGTTAAACGATGTGCGTACAAGTGGCTGTTGACGTAATGTCATTAGCATACAGGAAATTTCTGATAGCGGTATTTCTCTTTGGTGCACCGTTTAAAAATATTTGAGGAATATCTGTAGAATGATTTTTGCGCATACTTCAAAACATCTCTGTATGCAAGAATTCCACTTTGATAATTATTCAAATAAATATTGAAACTGGGAGAAAACATAAAAATAGAGGAAATTTGGAGATATTAGTCATACTACCCTCCTCCTTATTTAAAATGTCCTGTCTACTGTCTTCTTTTCAATTTTTACGATATTTTGAAGTATTTCGAATTTGATATGCTTTTTACCTTTTAAACAAAAATCAGAATGTCCTGCGCGCCTTGTAGGGATCTAGATACAGTTTAATTTATTCGTCCTGACTGCTTTTCGGATGGTTCCACTAGTTCATAGCGTGTCACTTTGTAAGTTAACATTTCAATGCAGATTATTTTCCTTTATTTTTCCGAAGTTAGATAGTTACTGAGTTACCATTTGAATGCAGAATATAATTTTTTTTTACTTTTTCTAAATTAACATTTGAATGCATATTATTGTTTTTTATTTTTTCTAAATCAATATTTGAATGCACATTATTATTTCTTTATTTTTCACATTTGTTGGAAAATGCTAAATTCGTCAATTCACACTATTCCTCAATTTCTAATAATTTTCGATATAGTAGACTAAATATATTTACTACCTCAAATTTTAAGGGCGATTTTCATAAGCTGTTACGAAATAATGACAAAATTTTTGAAATTTAGTGAAAAAAAAATAGAGATCGTTTGGAAATGTTAGTTTTTCATAAGTTAACATTTCAATGCAGATTATTTTTCTTTATTTTTCCGAAGTTAGATAGTCCTGAGTTACCATATAAATGCAGATTATAATTTTCTTATTTTTTCTAAATTAACATTTGGATGCATATTATTACTATTTATTTTTTCGAAATTAACATTTGAATGCATACTATTATTTTTCACAACTGTTGGAAAATACAAAATTCGTCAATTCACACTATTCCTCGATCTCCAATAATTTTCGAAATACTAGACTAAATATATTTACTACCTCAAATTTTAAGGGCAATTTTCACAAGCTGCTACGAAATAATAACAAAATTGGTGAGATTTAGTAAAAAAAAAAAAAAAATAGAGATAGCAGAAAGGCAGTAATAAAACCACATATTTCGTCAACGCTTCGAAGTGATACTTAGAACAATTAAGATAAGAAAGGCAGCGTAACTAAAAGAGAATCATGCTATGATTAATTATGAATGCTCCCGAGTATCTCTTTCGTACGATCTTGACTCACAGGGCGCCGATACTGGGTCAAGGAATCGTTCAGCGAAAGAGGGAAAAGATTAAAAAAGGATTTTTCAATTGAAATTTCTTCAAGAAGGATCAACGTACACTGATACGGTCGATATTTGAAATTTTTCGCCGAACGAGCCTTTCTTTTCTCCTCGACCACGTCCCTTTACCAGAGCCAAAACACTATTGACGTAAGCACTGGTTTTAAAGACAAGGATACTCCTGTCAGCGACGAAATCATTTCGCGAAAGAACCTCCGTGTTGCTCTTGCAAAATCTTCGACTCTTTCGTAAGGATCTATTGTTCCCCTTTGTCCAATATGCCTCTAGAAAGTGATTTGATCACATTACGAATACCATAGATGAAAGCCTCTTACGGCAAAGCGACCGCGTTATTTCCATTCTGGACCTCAGAAAACCTGTACCTTGAAGGTCAGGTTCAACGACTGCCGGCCATTGAGAACAGAACAAGAACGAGAATATTCATGGGTAATATTGAAGAAAAAAACAACAACAAGAAATTAAGCGCCGTTACACTTCGTCGATTCTCTCTTTCTCCTCGTCGAATTCTTTTTATCGATAAAAATTAATCAAATCATTTTCCAGGATGTTCGATATAATTCTGGCATAAATTAAATTTCTGCGGTTAACGCGTCATCGTGCCGTGTTAACGAGAATAAACGGAAATAGCTGGCTGAAAAGAGAATGAAAGAAGCACGTGGACCCTCCTCTTTCGTTACGGCAAACGTGTCCTGGCGATTATGCAAATTGAAAGCGGAAACCGGTTGATATTGTTAAAGCAAGGGTCGAGAAATAAACCTACGGCGGATGACTCGTTTGCCACTCTAGAATTTTTAATTATAACCCATAGAAGGTGTTCCGCGGGATACTTTGATTCTCAGTCACGTCCCTCGGTGAGAAAGAATTAACGATATAATCGGTTGGCTATTATTAGATGGACCGTGAAAACCGGCAATTTTCGTCGTCGAGGATGACAGAAACGTCGAAAGATGGATTGTCTTCCTGTGATTAATTATTCGCTTATTAATAACGACTATTCGTGTCGATCACGTTGTTGCACGTAAATTAGCTCCGTTAACTCTTAACGAGAATATATTCTTTCTTTTCTGTGATTTATTCCAACGGGGAAGGAAATCTTCGCTTTTCGGCGATCTCGTGTTGTTCTTATCATTCGGAATTCTATCATTTCTATTCTTGCTGTTTGGGTTGGTGTTAACGATATGGCCTTTCCTATAATTTTGTTCGATCGTCAATTTTTATACAGAATGATCGAGGAGAAGGGATTTACTGCAGTACACGTGTAATCAATAGTAAAAAATATTCGTAATACAATTTTTTGGATATTATTGTCTGAAGTGATGAATAATCGGGATATTCGCGTAATTTTGTTAATGTAGGTTTAAACTTGGGAAAACTGCGCTGAAAACTGCAGGAGGTGTGAATTTAGCATTTGAAAAAGGTCGTGTAAATGCTAGGACAGTTCGACGTTGGTGTGCAAAATTCAAGATTGGCGACTTTTTAAGTGGAAATGAGAGAAGAGGAATCTTGGGTATACTGGTAAAAATCGAAATTATGATTTATCCGTATTTTCCTTTTCGGGAACGTAACTTGTGCCCACAAATTAACGCGAAAATCATAAATATTTTACAAGAGAAAGGAATAAAAGTGTTTTAATTTTTAATACCTTTGGACTCTTAAAAATCAATGATTCTGAAATGAAGACACTGTGAATGTCGCATTCAAATAATTTTTTCATTCGAATATTAACGATTTTTATAAATTTCGAATAACGAAGTTAGTTAATCATCGAGAAAAGTGTATATATCTAAAATTCCATTTAAAGAAGCGACGTTCCATATGCACCGACCTAATATTGCACGATTCGTTTCTGTGTTGTAAACACAAGAGATTGCCGGTTGTTTACCAGAAATATTCGATGAAAAAATAGAATGAAACGATAAGTGGGGTAACCTTCAGATTAAACTGCTTATTTGCAACAGTACGTTTAAACGTTTGATTATTGGTTAGACGAAGTTGTAGGAAACTTGAAAATTTGCAATTTTTTCTTCCTTTCAATTTCATCGCTTCGGAGATTTTCATCGAATACAAGAACGAAGTGGGATCCGTTCGATTTTCCATTGAGCATTCCGAGGTTTCCACCCACGTGACGTATAATAATGGCTGTGCACGACCACGTACCGGAAGTAGCTCGATTTAATAAACACTCCGCTTAGAACTTCTTTCCGATCATACACCTTGAACGAGCACTTAGAATTCCAGAATCTCGTGATGGGACTTCCAATTAGATCCGTGCTGGAAATCCCGTTCTCTGAATCACGCACGGCAAATGTATTAAAAATATTTCGATCTCATACGTGTTTACGATCCATTTGCAATCTACGTGACACATCGAACGTAAATACCTCCGTTGTATTCGATATTATAATCGAGCTTATCTATGTATCATATTCGGAAACTTCGTCGTTGAATCGGTAATGTAACATCTTCCAACGTAATTCCTTATTTGACGTGTACGTATGTATATAGGAAAACTCCATTCAGATCCGTTCACTCGAATCTTGATAAAGCTAAGAAGAACGACGAAAGCATGTACAGAGAGTTCGAGGAATATGAAATATTCCACATTTTCGTGGAATTTTTCACCTGCCGGTATTCGTATTTCTGTGACGATCAGTTGACGAGACGATTCGACTCCTCGATTAAATCGAACGTTCGTAAGTACTCGTCTTATTTTGCAAAAGAAAATTGTTCTCGTGTAGTTTCTTTCTTCCAAGAACAGTCTTCTAAGTCTCAATTAAGGCGAAAACTGCAATTTTTTTGCTTTAAGAAAGCAACTGCTTTTTTGATTTAAGAAATTAAACTTATTTTGAGAAGAAAATTGTTTCGACGTGTTTTCTCTCTTCTGAGAACAGTCTTCCAGGCCTCGATTAAGGCATAAGCTGAAATGTTTTTTTTTCATAGATTTAAGAAATTCAAATTAACATTGAAAAATATCTTTCGTTTAATTAACGCGTTCTCGCTGCCACCGACCCAACATACGCTCAATGTATTACCCAGCGTGTTATCGATTTCCCGATGGCAACGACCGTGTTAAGGAATTAAACGAAGAATATTGAAAGCAAAATTTACACGTTTAAAAAATGTACGTAAACATGCGCTTGGAAACTGTAAACGGGTGATCCAGGAATGTTTCTATGCAATTAACGCGATATCGATATTACTACAGCGGCGAGGGATTAGACGGGGAGAGGGGAGGAGAAATCGCTGCGTAGAATTCAAGTTCTCTGGGTCAAGCGCCTGAAAAATCGCCGCTGATACGGAACTCATACGCGTTTCTTACGAAACCAGACCACGAAACCTTTCATTCACTCGCCAATGCCTCGATGACTCACGCGGCGAACCAGTCGCGTCGAAATTTGATGGTTGAGAAAAACCCAATGCCACGCGCTTACGTGATGATCACATACGTGTATTTATTCTGTTTACTCGTATTTTTACAAGAAAGATCGCACGATAGAACTCCTTTGCATACGTGTATTTTCTTTGTTCTTTTTTTTTTTGAGAAATATAAAAAGATTGAAGGAAAGAAGCGAAAGAGAAATACAGTGCGGCGATGTGTTTCGTATTTCGAGTTACTTTCGAGAAATGAAATCGTTCCTTCGAACGTGTACTGGGTTCGGTTGGAAAAGTTGAGAGAAGGAGTAGCAGTGAAACGACTGAGACACTTATGTATATCGGAACAGAGTGATTTTTCACCGCGATAATGCCAAATCGCGTGTCGCACGAAACGTGCAGATAAAAATTACGTGAATTCGATTGGGAAATTTGATCACGCCCATTATATTCTGCGGACAGTGTCCCATCGGATATTACCATCTGTTTCGTGCATTACAGCACTTTTTAGTGGGCAACAGATTTGACAAAATCGACTCTGTGAGAAATGACGAAATATTTTAAGGAAAAATCGAAGAAATTTTATAGCGACGACATTATGGCTTTACCAAGAAGATGGGAAGTCGTGGAACAAAAGGGTGATTACATTCTTTCACAGCATTTAAAGGTATGTTTGAAATATCAATCTAAATGGGGCAATAAACAGCACGATCTTATCGAACGACCTAACAATTTGAAGACTTTACGGCAGACTCGTTGGCACAATCAGCTTATAGAAACTAGTAATAAAGTTATAAATTCAATATTTTATGGGAGGATGCAGTTAAGTGTGGAATGATTAAAATTGTAAAATCCAAGCGTTAATAGAAGCGTGTAACGAAGGTTTATTATAGCTCGGTATATCCCTCGGAAGGGACAGCAACTGCTCAGGTAGGTTCTAAAAGAGAGCTGTGGGAGCACCTATACAGCTGTTACCCGGTTTACGCTACATTGTCCTCTTCACTATCCTGTAGGCGTCGGTAAATACCGTATTATTCTTCGTTTCCTGTCAATCTGAAGTTACAGCACGGGCCAGGCTATAGCGAGGTGATAAAATCGGTCAGGAATCGAAGTAATCAAGTTTCAGGCGTTGAGACAATCGAATTGATGGAGACACGAGCAGTTAAGAACCTGAAACCTCGGCCAGGGGCGTACGAAGATACGTTCGAAGCCCGGTAGCAAATTTATAGTCTGAACCAAATATATCGGTCGGTCACGTGGATTTCTGCTACGTCGCTTTTCCACACCGACCACCCCCACCAAGCGTGATCTGTGTATGCGGTGGTTCGACAGGTCGACGTCATTGGCCCGTGGGCGTGGTTAACTACTGAGCGGTAAAAATGAAACCGAAAAGCGACGGAGGAGAAAACCACGTGACTGGCTAATATATTCGGCTCAGACTATAGCTTCGCCGTTCAAGTGAGTTTTGTAGAACATTAACGGCTATTCAGACACAGGGAAAGCTTCAAATATTCCAAATAGTAATTAACATGTGAGAAAACCACGTGACCAGCTAATATATTCGGGTCAGACTATAGCTTCGCCGTTCAAGTGAGTTTTGTAGAACATTAACGTGAATTCAGACACAGGGAAAAACTTCATATATTCGAAATAGTAAATAACGTTTGCAAATTTTCCACTTTGGAATGAAATACCGTTAGTCGTAAGTGGTAATTCTTTTATTCTGCAGAAATTCAAAATGGAGTACGGTATACGCCCCTAAGTGCGGCGATTTAATTTACGACCTGGTTATATGGCGGCCCGTAGTATAAATGCAATATTATTCGTTTCCTGTCGATTCGAAGGTGGGACGTTTATTGAGGCTAGTAGTTGCAGCAATTAAGTTTTATTCGAAGACACCTCTTAAATAGTACACCCAATTAACGTGAGAAAGAACAGGATCTGTGCAATAGATTATTAACTTTCCTGTAACGGGATATTTTTCTTCCATTAATTGTTCGTCGTTCTGATTGTCCTCTTGGATGTTCACCTGGATAACGATACTCTGAAAGAATGTATTATTTCAAAGGAACAATGGAGGGAATTTAACGGTAACCTTTTCTTACAACCGATTTCAATATAATTGCAGCTGAAAATTACCTGTTTAGGATTTAAGATCTGCGACGGAGCTTCTATTGTAAAAATTTCGGGAACGTCGACGAGAAAGTCGAAGGTTTTCGTCTCTCTGAAGATATTTTTGAAGGGAATCGATGCTGGGAAATTCTGAGTGACTGTGTAAGGCCCCGTTGGTTTTGGTAACGAATAAGAACCAATCAAAGGAAATCTGAAGGAGAATGGAAACATTATTTCTTGAAATTACTGGCTTCATTCGTTTCTTCCTTTTTTTAATTAATTTGTATAAATTATTTTTCTATTCTTACACAAATTCTCCAGCAATGTCAGAGGACGCTGTCAATGTGGCAGTGACGTTTCCAATCTCACAAGGCTCGTAAATCACGTTGATCTTGCTGTCGCTTAATGCTTCCACGAAAATTCTTTGTGGAATCGTGAAACAATCACTGTCTACCTGAAATACGACACAAAAGGCACCTTTCAACCTTCTATTTTCTTTCGTATCTTTCGTAATTTTCTCGTTTGTTATATTGTCAATACTTGAATAATAAATATCGTATCCTCTTTCGTAGAATTATGCACAAGAAGTGAGAAGTTACACGTGCTTCCCAAGGTTGCGTTCAATCGTGTAACTTTTTCTGGCGGCGCAGGGGTGGCTTTCAAGCGTAATTCGTACGGAAAAGTGCCTAATTTCTCAGAATTGACGTTCAGCATGACAGATTCATCGGTTGGTAACGTTGGATGATACTGTATGTACATATACTCCTGCAAATTTAAAAAATTGACAATTGTTTAACTGATGAATAAAAATGGTAAAGTATTGGTAATTGTTACTAATGAAATTACGATGATTGTTTAGATTTCAATGAATTAATAACGATTGCTAAGTGTTCAACTAAAGAAACAAAATGGCACTAAATTACTAACGAATTGATGATTAATAATTATTAATTATAATTAATGATTACTCACGTGTGACATTGGCGCCAAAAGTTTTGGCACCTGGTTCACCGTAATAAAAGGATAATCACACTCCACGGTGTACTCTATTGTATCGTGTTCCAATGGATTGTCCAATTTCAAGGTGTAACACACCTGAGTTCGAACGGCGGTAGCTAATTTAATCGATTCTATAACTTCTGGCTCTGTTACTTCATATTCGATCTCGTAAAATTGATACTCCCTTTCTTCGTTGGTAAACATCACCTGAATGAAAGTGTATAAATTGAAACCTCCACGTGGAAATAGAGGTAAAATCTAATTAACAGACGATCGAAAGAATTACTTTGAAATAAAAATTCGACTTCACGTAGCAATGAAATACTGCACGATAGTCTCTCTGGCTATTGGCCGGGATATCGATTCTCTCATTACCCAAGAAGCTATATAAAGGAATCTGGAAGTGAGAAATAAAAGAAATTTAAAAGATTGATATTTCGGATAAAGAGAAATCAAAGCGTGAAAAAATTGAAACCTCCGATCGAATATCGTCGCTTTTCAGCAATTTGATCTCGCAATGGAATCTCTCCTGTCTGTCTAACCAATTATGAACAGGTAGAAGCTCGGTATATTTCATTTTTGCTGGGAATCGACGGCTAATTTTTGCAGCAGCCTCTGGAGGAAAGCTTCTGCCACGAAGGGAATACAGCATGGGTATATTTTCGTCCAATGACTTCAATATTAACGTGCCCTGGTCCAAAATTAAAATAGAAACACGTGAGAAATATTGATGAAACATTTAAACGAATTCATTACTCCGTGGCTTTTAAATATAGGCAAGAGTTTGGGAATTTTGTCGACAGGCAAGTACTAAACGAAGAGTTTCAATTTTTTCGCAGGATATAAATGGAACTGTCAGCTTTTTTCTTCAATTTTTTAAAAAACAATAATATTGCGAATTCTGAAATAAAAGAGATTTTTTCGATATGTCGATTATTTAATTATTTTAAAACGATTAAATTCGACGTTTCTTTGGTAAAAAGGGGTTTTTCCACCTCAAACGCTATCATTTTTATGACAATTACAATTATTGAAAAATCTTGTACTATATTGTAGACGATGCATTTTAATTTATACTTGTCGGCGATGGTGGCCATAAATCGATATCCTAGCAGAAGAGGTTTCGCAAGTAGCGAATAACTCTTCCAGTTTGTAACATATTTACCTTTTAAAAATTGGAAAAGAAAGCTGAAAGTTACATTTATATTCTCTCAAAAACTTGAAACTTTTCATTCAACAATTACTTATGAAAAAAATGACCAAATTTTACCTACTTTTAGACGCCTCAGGGGTGGTTTCTATTGTTTACGATGTGACTTTTTCACATGATTACTCACAGTATGCAGCGTTTCGTCAGTATTCATTACAAGTGGACCATACGTGATGACACACGGAGCAGATTCCCGCGGATGAATTTGCAGAATTTCATTAACGAAGAAATAATCTCCAGTGACTTCGGGCTTCAATTTCCAAAGAACGTTCATATCGTTCATCACCATCACAGTTCTCGTTTCTTTCTCTCGTACCAGCGACTCGAAGAAGATCGTTTCAATTGGTTCCGGAAGTTTCGAGCATGTTCCAAAAATTTTCACCCTCAACGATTCGTATTTCTCAATTTCCATTATCGCCTGAGGAATCACGCGTATTCTATTCAGAATTTAAAGAGAGAAAAGAGAAGAAAGGAGAAAACGTACGTCCTTTTTGCTCGTTACGGAAATAGTGTAAAAAAGTTGGAGTGCACCGTTGAGAATAATTAGTGATCGAAGTCTCCAATTATTCGAAGCGACGGATAATTTTTCAACCCGTGTAGTCTCGAAAGTTAAAACGACCAGTCGAGGGGCGTCGAGGAGTGAGCGGCGGAGAAACACACGCGTGCAGAGAATCTCATTAAGAGATTGTTTGACATATTTGTACGCCGCGGTGTTGAAAACGAGGTCGTGAACTCACCTCACCCTCGATTAAGCTGCGCTGCTCACGAGGTTGGAACTTCACGATAAAACTGACATCCATACCGGCCAAGCAGTAACCGGACATAGGGCTGATCCGAAAGTCATCTGGTAGATTCGACGTGTTCCACTTGAATCTACGAATGTTCTCTATTTTTCTATCGTATAAATATCAGGTTGCTGCAAATGGAATGTCGTTTTTTCAACAGCTACACCGTATATTAAATTTTGTCTGGTTGTAAATTTTAAAAAGTGTTCATGATACAATTTTTTGGATATTACTATCTGACGTGATGAATATTTTTTGTGTAAGTTTGAACTTGGAAAATGTGTGGTAAATACTTTAGAAAATATAAATTTAGCATTTGAAGAAGGTTGTGCAAATGTTAGGACAGTTGGACGTTGGTGTGCAAAATTCAAGATTGGCGACTTTTCATTGGAAAATGAGTCAAGAGGAAAGCCAAATAAGTTCGTCGATGATAACGCTTTAAGAAAAATTATTGTAAACAATCCACGATATGAAATTTTGCCACATCCTCCCCTATTCACTCGAACTTTCCCCGATAGACTACCATTTCTTCAAACAACTGCAATTTTTTTAACAAATAAATAATTCACTGCAAAAGCAGCATTTAAAGAATTTTTTCATTCAAAAACTAATGATTTTCATACATTTGGAATAATGAATCCAACTAATCATTGGAAAAAGTGTATAAAATCTTGCGGAAACTATTTTGATTAAATGCAATAGAACCTCGTATAACGCGATAAAAAAAAAAAGAAGAAGGAATGTACAAATTCTGAATTTGTAATTTTGTAATTGTGCATTAATTAAATTTGTCTCGAAAAGCTATGACGATGGAACTTAATTAGTATTATATTTCCCACGTTATAAGAAGCCCTACTGAACATTATTTTCCGAAGAAACACAATCTGAAGTTTCGTTTAAAAAAACGACGGTTCATATGCACCAACCTAATCTATTTCTCTAACCCTTTCAAATTAATTAATTCATCAACCTCGAGCCAATATCTCCAGTGTTCATCAAAATCACTTTGGACTTCTCCACACAATCCTGAACAACTGTGCCAAATGAGATATGGCTTCTGTTTAACCGAAACTCCGCGCCAACGCAGCTTCCACGTAGCAAAAACAACGGAAGGATCGTCGAAGACGTCTGAAGAGCCACTTTAGTAGCGAACGGACACATTCTGTACGTAGGTCTAAAAGTGACCGACACGTTCATCCTTTTATTCGGTTTCAAAACAACGTTAGACGAAGGTTCTATCGTTAACACGTCTGAAAGTTTCGGTTCTACGGTCTGTAGCCTCTGATCCAACGTCCCAGAGCGTTTCGTCTCCATAATGGAGGCTCGAGCTAATTCGCTTGCTTCTTCTTTCTTCAGCGAACGAAATCCCAGTCGTTCGCGATACTCGTCGTAGCCGCTCAGATTCTTCAGCAGGTCGAATTTTAATTCTAGAGGTGCCAGACCTTCGTTTATTATAGGGATCTTCCTTGAGACGCTCCTGGAGGCGGGAACGCTGCCGAGATCGATAGATTTGTCGCGAGGATTCACCAGACGGACCTGCAAGGCATTTGGAAACTGTTCTAGAAGTTCGAATTGGAAAAGTGAACGCATCTTTTCAAGGCTGCAACAATAAATCAAGTTTCTATGGTTTATTTTCGATTTTGATCTAATTGTTAACCTATTTCGCGTTTCACGTTGGAGGAAAATCGAGATCTTTTCGGGAATACATATTCTTGAAATTTTTTTTGGAAAAACGGGTGAGTCAATAAGAACTGCTATCTGAAATAACGCGTTACCTGTTTACTGATTTAATAAAAAACTGTTATAGATATATTAAATACATTGTATTCGGTGGAGGTTATCGAATGAATGCATTCTGATTTCTTTGTGTCTTCAATTATCTGAAATATCGAGGTGATCCTGAGTTTTTTAAATGGCACTGCATATTTTAGATATACTAAATGCATTGTATTTAGTGGGGATCGTCGAATGAATGCATTCTGATTTCTTTATGTCTTCAATTATCTGAGATATCAAGGTGACTCTAAATTTTTTAAATGTCACTGCATATTTCCATTAGTGAATCTTCTAGTTTTGAGACTCAAGGTCAACACAAGCTTCGTCCTTTTATCGGCTACAATATAACGCTCATAAAAATATGCAGAGATTTATAAATATGAAGAACTCAAAGTTACCTTGATATCTCATACAATTCGAGACATAAAAACGTCAAAGTGTATTCATTAAACGAGCCCCACTGTACACAATATATTTCATATGTACTACTTTTCTCATCAAAGCAATATGTAACGAGTTATTTCAGATAGCATTTCTTATCGTCTCACCCGGTATGTTCTATTCTGTGTAACACCAAAGACCCTCGTCTTTATATCTATATAAAATAATAGGGAGTTACTGAAAACAAAATTTTAAAAAAATTTGGAGTTCAAAGGGTTAAGCCTTTAATGGGTAGGGACTAGTAGAAGACAGAAGGAATCGTACGTAAAAAAATGTGCAATAAAATTTTGTGACAGAATTTGCAGGTAGAAGGAGCTGGATCAATGCGGGTTAGACGTAATTAGGATTTAATTTTCTGACTTGTGAATGACTGCTCTGTGAGTACACGTTATCTACATGCAATCACGTACATTACCGGCCAAAAGTTTGGAATCACCTCCCAATTTTCATCAGTACTGAATCTGCTACTGATATTGTGGAGATAAATAGCAATTTATCTCATATCGATTGATTCGAATGATACAAAATTCGTTAAAAAATTCTTAAAGATGCTGACTTTTTTCTGGGAATTTTTGTGTAACTTGCAATGCACAGTGATTCCAAACTTTTAGCCGGTAGTGTATAGAGAGTGAATTATTGAAAACATACATTAAAGCAAGATATTAAAATATCTCTTAAGCTAATGGCTGTTTGGCATAAATAGCTTAATACCCTTCTATAGACAATGCATTGGAAACTATGTTCCATTAAAGAAAAAAAAATTGTCTACACATCCACCTACGAAAAATCTACTTACCTTGAATCTTTGACAGTCTTATAATATTATGAATTACGGTAAACAAAATGTATATTTCACGCGTATTTTTTGAATAATTACGTCGAGTCTGATCATTTTTAAAACAAGGGATAGACAACCCTACGTCATAGTTATGACAATAATATCTCGTCCCTTTTCAACTTTCTTCCTAAGAGACTCTCTTGAGTGCAAACACTTAAATATTTGACGCTTTGCCCGAGTCTCACGCGGGATAAACTGTCGAAGGGTTATACAGAAATCTTTCTAAATTTTCAAAACGTTCTTGCCTCTCGTTAATTTCTAATTTCAACCGCGACAACTGACCCGAAGTGATTTAGAGCGGTTTAAACGTACCCCGCGATAACTTCCGCGTGGCAAATATTAGCCCCGCGACACAGGAGCGCGAAAATCTGCGAAACTTTCGCGAGAAGATTCGATTTCCAGGCGAGCTCACGTAAATATCCCGTGGTGGCGTAAGTTAGAAGCCTCTCTCGCGAGGATTCCTCTCGCAACCCGGAGAAACTTGCTTTGTTACGCTTTGCCCCACCGTGCCACGGGGAACCGGATCCACTCGCGACTGCGGAAAAAACCGGCCGGCAACATCCTTATCGCTGCTCGAAAGTTTTAACAAGTCGACGCTCCTGGATAACTTACTTTGTACCAGATACCTTCGCCTGTAATCGTTATATTCTTCTCGTTCGCTGAGTTGATCGCGAATATTAGGCGTTCGTGATAGGTGGTCTCCTTTAAAGGGCGAAAAATGATCGGTATAGCGATCGTGGATCGAGGAACTATGGCTTCTGAGAGGGAAGTCAAGTCGATGGACAGGTGTGGCTGTTCTTCGTACTTGCACTCGACTCTGTGTTAGGATAATTATTCATTCGGTCAGCCTAAGTGTTTCCGCGGTTTTAAGGCGTTTACGTTGAAGGAACATAACTTTGCAGAAATTGAACATTTTTACAAACGCGTTGGCAAAAGTGTGTCGAATATTATGGAAATTATTTTGGATAAAAGCTTTTAATTTCAACGGAGTTATGCTTCTTTAAAATGAACAGCTTGAAACCTCGGGAACTTTCAGCATGACCTAATAATTCATGGAGTATTCCATTTATTGCGAACATCTGAATTATTTAATTAAATCTTCCGTAGTTAATTTGGGTCATTTATGACCCGAGCGAAATTTCACTCTTGCATTTTTTGAGGCGAATTTTTATTTTTATTAAAAATAGTTCGAAATATTTGACTTAAATGTATAATGTAGTGGAGGCTTTGATAAGTATCCCAGAATTCTTTCGCGTGTTTCGAAATCTTAGAACAGTAAAAAAAATTAGACTTGGGCGTGAACGACCCAGTTTCCCTACGAAGTGTGAAAAAATATGTTTGCCTATGGATAGTAAAATTACTTTAATTTAAAAAATGATTAGGAATGAATTTTTCGATGAAACTCACACTAAGGGCACGTCATCAGAATTCGTCAGTTGAAGTTCTGTGTAATAAGACATTGTGTTCTTCTCTTGAATGTAACAGGGTCCAAAATCGTAACGATTGAAATTGAATTCGACAGCAGGCTTTTTCGAACAGGCCTTCAGTATGAATTTATAGGTAGAACCATTAGAAATCTAAGGAAATTTGTGTTTTTTTTTTTTAATTAAATACGAGGGACATGTTTATTAATTTTCTCGTTGATTAAAGTCGACATACCTTCAGAAGAACGCAATGATTTTTTATAGTGACTTTTTGAAACACTGTTACTGTCAAACAACAAGTAGATCGATCTTCAGCAGTCACATGACCCTGTTTCTGAGATATTGCCACGCTGTATGCGTTTCTATACGCAATTTCTGGCGTCATACCAATCTCCCAAGAATAATAGAAAGCCACTTTACCGGAATTCGTTATATCGAACTTGACGGTGACCGGTATTTGGAGCATTAACTTCAAATAAACATAAGTAACACCTTTATCTCCTTTTCATTATCTTAAAAAATACACTTCGAGGGAGTGCACCACTCTGAAGCGTGTAGAAATAAGTAAAGTTGGAGAATTTTTCTTACAGGTAACTACTAAACGAAAAGTTTCAATTTCTCCGCAAGATATAAATGTAGCTTTCAGATTTCCTCTTCAATTTTTAGAGTAACAACGTTAGAAAGTGGAAGACTTATTCGCTACTTGCGAAACCTCTTCTGCTGGAACATCGACTTATGGTCGCCATCGCCGGCAAGAATTGAAAGGTCTGACATAAAAAGTTCTTATCGATTTATAAATAAAAATGTATTACCTATAACGTAGCTTAAGATTTTTATAAAATTTTAATTACTATGAAAACGGTGGCCGTTCGAAGAGAAAAACCTTTTTTCCCCAAACAAATCAACCTGAAAATTTTCTAAAAAATGAAACAACGAATGTATCGAGAAAGTCTCAGGCTACATTGTAGGCGGTACATTTTTACTAGCGAAACAGCAAGAATTTTTTATTTCAGACCTTCCAATCCTCGCCGGCGATGGCGGCCAGCAGAAGAAGTTTCGCAATTAGCGAATCGCTCCCCCATTTTGCAACATGTATACTTTTTAAAAATTGGAGAACGAAGCTGAAAGTTGCGTTTACATCCTCTGAAAAAATTTAAAAGCTTTGATTCGGTAGTTACCTGTCGTCAAAAAGTTCTCAAACTTTCGCCTGTTTTCAGGAGCCTCGGTGCGTGTGCTCCCTCGAAATACGACAGAATTATATTTTCGAGTTGGCGAAATTGAGAAAAAAGGGGTTCGCCAACCTTCCCCAGGTCAATGACGTTCTCCTTGTCCTCGAAAGTTCGCGCGATTTCGCCAGCGTGGATGCAATAGGAGACCGAGGACACGATATCGTAAACGGAGGCGGTCACGAAGACTGTGAGGGGGCTTTTCATCAGCTTCACGGCGCACTGAATGGAAAAGTGGAATTCACCGACCCGGCTTGGATGGTACTCGACCCTGCGGACGGATTAAAACATTCGTCGAGCCATTCTGTTCTGCGGTTTCTCGCGAGAGAAGAAGGGAAAAAAAGGGAAAAATGAGGGATTCGAGGCGTAAATTAAGAACCAAGTCATATTTGAACATATTAAGCCAACGTCATTGTTACACGTCGTTAAATTAAGAGCGATAATCACGAGAGATGCTGTTCACTCTTCGATACCAGGCTCCCAGTTGCTGGAGTCACGGCGAGCTTCTGGAATTTACCCTCGGAAAACAGAGATTCTTCCGCCACTTTAAATGGTATATGAAAATCTTCGTTGTTCAATAATTTGATCGTGTCTCGCACGTTGTGCCCTGAAAATCAACAATAATCACTGTGCATTATTATTACTATTATGGAAAAGTTTTCGACATAGAGAATTTAATGAACAATAATCACTGTGCATTATTATTATTATTATTATTATGGAAAAGTTTTCCACATAGAGAATTTGCTAAATTTTTTTACTGTTGTTATTATGTTTAGTATGACAGCTTTTTGTATGTGTAAATGAAGATGTATGTTGGTAGTTCTAATAGTTGGAAGTTTTGTGTGAGTGTTTGTGACGTGATACCCGTGACTGATATTATACACGGTTACTATTGTCACATTGTTTTGTTTCCGGGATTTGTTTTGATTTACTGTGCCAGTGGTGTACATTTTTCCATTTTCTCTGTATATTTGGTCTTCTGTATTTTGGTCCCTTGGTGTATGGCTATGTCTATGAGGTACACTACCGGCCAAAAGTATGGAATCACCGATCATTGCAATTGACACAAAAATTTCCTGAAAAAAGTCAGCGACTTTGAGAATTTTTTATCATTCGAATCAATTGATACGAGATAAATTGATAAATGTAGAATTGAGATAAACTTCGAATCTATAAAAGATTAGTAGCAGATTTAATATTAATGAAAATTGGGTGGCGATTTCAAACTTTTGGCCGGTAGTGTATGTAGTGTGATGCTTGCGACTGATATTTGTGTCTTTTAATTCAATTGCGAGGGGTGGATATTTTGGATTTTTGTTTCGTTCCTTTTTTTGTGATATTTATTATTATGTTTGCTGTTGTACGTTGAATTTAAAGAAAAATGAAATGTCAAAATTGAACGTGACACCTTGTATGCATTAGCAGTCGAAAAAAACTAAGAAAGGGGGAAAAAAGAGAAAAGGCAGCGCGCTGATGGTTCGCGGTAAGAATACTCGAGGCCCAACCCAAGATTGTTGGCTTCAGTTTCACGTGAACCGTGAGGCAGTGCACCGAGGGCTCGGTTACGACGGCGGCGACCAGGAAAAGGCACTCGAGATTGTATCTGTCGATGGAGAAGAGCCAGAAGGATTCGAAGACACCGACGTCCTCTGCCAAAAACGTGAAAGCCAGGTCGGTTCGTTTCCCGCGTTCAGCTACGCCCTCGGTCACTGTACAATGAAAATTCGATATCTCGTCTGTCTTGTGTTGCGTTCGATCCCTCCACGAGAAATGGTAATCGTCCGAGGTTGGATTGATCAGATGAAATTTTCTGAAATTTCACATATTACAGTGTTTTATTGAAATTTACATATTATTTATGGTTTTCTTTATTCCGTACAGCTGGAACATAATTCTTTTTGAAGATTCATCGAAACATTTTTTAAGATACATCTGTACGTCTGGAACGATATTTTTTAACCCTTTATACTGCGAATTTTTTTTTTTTTCATTTTCTTTCCAATAACTCCGCATTATTTCAAGTGTTTTATTTAAGAAGTACTTCAAAGGACAATTGGTTGATAGGAAGCAATGTGAACAACTGCTTCATCAAACATATATGACACTTTTCTGCAACAATTGCACTTTTTTTCCTTACAAAAAAGAGTCATATACACGTAACGTTGCTTATCTAAGTATAAAAAAATATTGCGAAATATAATACATATTTAAACTGGCGATTTAAAAATGTCTTGTGTGACTCGACATAGGAGTACCTGTGAATAAAATTGACGTAGAGTCACACTCGACAAACAAGCGCAAGAGTTTAAGATTTACAAGATATTTTTTAAAGATAAGGAAGATTTAATTGTCGTTTGAATTTCTCTCGGCCCGTTGTTCCAATTAATTTCTCTATCCTCGAAACGAGGCGTAATGAGCTTCGTTAAAACAAGTATAACGTAGGAGAGGATTGTGTTTGCGTAACTTACTTCACGTGAGTTCCGCCAACGCCGACCACTTTAAATTCGATTACCCTGATGTTCTGCCACAAAGTGAGATCGTCTATCTCGTAGCCCACGGGACCCGGTCGCTTTGGGTCGCGTCTGTTGCTGGTTACGTAGTCGCTCTCCTGCACGTCGAAGTGACAATAGGGGAGCAGGCTTCTTGCCACGACCTGGATCGTCCAGTTTGGCCGTTCAGGATCGAGATTTTCCACCCTATATTTCACACGATTTTAGAATCTTTCTATTTCTTCCTTTTTACAACTAGATTTTCTTCTGTTTTTAGTCCAATTTTTTACAATATCCTTTTTAATGATATTCACGTGATAACACTCTCTCCTCTTTCTCTCATCTCAAAGTTGGACTCGTCCTGATCATATCAGAGAGTTACGAGATCTCGAGTAGGAGGACAGTTCATCTGATTTCCTGGAGTTTACTTTAAATATGTAACGCTTCTCCCACAGTGTCTTAAGGATCGAGACCAGAATCCCATGAAATTGAATCAATCCCGGAGAGAGACCACCACGAGGAGGCAAGGGAACCCCGGCATGGACACTTAAATTACTGTTCTTCTGGAGACCTCCTTTCGGTCTCCCTCTTATTGATCTTCGAATGGTGCTCAGAATCCAAAAAATTGAATGGACGTCAATTCCGGGGAGTCCACCGTGAGAAGAAGGCAAAAAGGAACCTCCGACATGGACTCTTTTTTAATTTACTTCTTCTGGAGACTTCCCATTCACCACTCTCTCATTGGTCATGGGATAGTGCCTAGAGTTCACAAAGTTGGATGGACACCATTCCAGAGTCCATCGCGAAGGTAAGGAAGAGAACTCATCTACTCTCTCTCTCTTCCCCACAGATCGGTTCTTTTTCTGGGCATCAACCCCACTGGTATTTGGATGTTACTCAGAGTCCAAAAAGTTAGGACACCATTTCAGAATCCATCCCAAAGGCAAGGTCACTTCATTCTCTAGACCTCTCCCCCTCCTCCCATTAGTCTTAGCAAGAGTCAAAGAAGTTGGATGTGCACCATTCCAGAGTCCACGACGATGGCAAAGAAGAGAACCACAGATCATCTCCATCTCTAGACCTCTCCCCTTCCTCCCATTGGTCTTAGCAAGAGTCCAAAAAGTTGGATGGACACCATTTCAGAGTCCATGGCGAAGGCAAAGAAGAGAACCAAAGATCATCTCCATCTCTAGACCTCTCCCTCTCCTCCCATTGGTCTTATAGGGTCCAAAAATTTGGATAGACACCATTCCAGAGTCCACTGTGAATGCAAGAAAAGGAGAACCACCCTCTCTCTCTACCACAGATCACCTCTTTCTCTCAATCTCCTTCCTCCTCCCCATTGATCTTCAAATGGTTCCCAGAGTTCAGAAAGTTGGATTGCATACCATATTTCAGGTCTACCCTAAAGGCAAAGAAACGAACCCAATCCCTATCTTTCTACCCCACAGATCACTTCGTTATCTGGACCTCCCCTCTCCCCCATTGGTTTTCAGATGGAGCACCGTGGACTACAGTCCATAAAATTGGGTGGACAGTTATTTCGAGTCTACAAGAAAAGCAAAGGGACCCCTAGAGAAGATGACAAAGTCTCAAAGAAACTTTTCAGCAGCGATCACCAATCTTAATTGGGTGTTACGCGTCGAAGAGGCAGTGCACTTTAATATCATCCAAGGGTTCGAACATCGATTGGGGCAATATACCACTTGATACCGTTTCATTTCTATTCTACCTACTTAAAGCTTGGAATATTGAGAGAAAGAAGATGGAGAAGGAAGTCGAATAGATAATCCCTAAGAGTGTCGCTGGTAGTAAAAGGGAGAAGGAGAGTAGAGGGTAATATAATTCGGAAGAAATTGCACCCGGGAGTACAGCCAAAGAAGCTGTAACCCATCTTTTTTCGGTACTCGACAAGTGAAACTTGAATTGAAGCACCACGAAGTGGTGACTTCTGACTACACGTCAATAACACTTGCACTTTCTATTTTCTTACATATGATATATCAATGTAAGTACACTCTATCCTACCGATTTTTACCATTTGCTTTGTCTCTTTATATCGAACACGTACTTGCACGTAAGGTATGCCTTGTAATAAAATACATCCTTGGGAGAGAATTTTAATGTACATTCCATGGATTGTCCAGGCGGTATCGTTCCTGTCTCGGGGTAAATTGCGAAAGGCAAATCGTCGCCTTCCAGCCAACTATCGGTGGTTCTCTCTGACAATCCTGCCGTGCTACTGAAAAGATCCGATCGCCTCGCGCTGCCAATCTCTTTCGGCTCCGTGCTATCTGTAATCGCGAATATTTGAAAGAATTATTTTACCCTATTTTATCATACGTTAACCATTTCACTGGAACTAATTTCTTTTTTAGCCGGAGGAAAATCGTTTAATCGTTGAATTATTCGTATTAGGTAATCACGATAGCTGAAGATTTGACTCCTCACTCCCCCAAATTTATTCCTGAAGAATCCATAGCATAGAAAAGGAGTAAAATCACGGTAAAGATTTACAATTACCAGAGGCGAAAGATTGACATTGCTGCGACGACAAATTAGCAGTGTCTCCGGAGCTCCTTTCGTCCCTTTCGATGTTTCGGTGACGATGTTCACTTCTCGCGGAGTAAATTCCTCTGGACGGTATCGAATTCTGTCGCGAACGGATTTCGTCCGTGGTTCTCTGCTTGGAACTCACGTTCGAACCGTCTCCGATGTTCCTCTTCGGATATTGCTCGTCCATATTTATCTTCCACGAGAACAACGTATTTACAATGCCTGGATTCGATAACGCGAACGTGTACTCTCTGGTCTGCGATCAAATTCACATCAGACTTTTACAGAATTCTTTTCCCCTGGAAATTTTCCTGTCTGAAATGCAATTATCCGATAACGAACTTGAAACATCAACGTATCCTTGAAATGAATTTCTTGAACTTGGCAGACGTATTCGGAGAATGCAACAGCGGCGTTTAATAATAATTGGATGCATTTGCTGGTCCCGGGAACAACTTCGTGCTTCGCCTCAACAGTTGGTTGCACGATCTTCTTCGCTAACAGATCTGCGTCGCTTAGTTGATGCATAAGATCATGGTGAATCCTCTCCCATCGTACCTCCGTTTGTCTGTCGTCCCAGGCTGCATCGGTCGGATCTTCTACTATGATTTCGAATAAACTGCATTCGATACGTACCTAAAGGTGGAAACACGTTACTATCACGTCACCTGCTATTACATTGATATTCGAAAAGTGTGAACCGAGGTATTCCCATAGCTATAAATCTGTTGGAAACAAATTATTGTCACGTCACGCTGCTCACGTGATAAATGTTATTACTCTGTTATTTCACTTCCAATTTTCATTCTGTCCTTTAAGGTTGGGACACATTACTGTCACGTCACGCTGTTCACGTGATAAATGTTATTACTTTAAAATTTATAAATATAAT